CTTTTGTTCTTTATGATATACACCCATATATCTACAATCATCACAATGTTTTATATTCATGTGATGCACAGTTCATCTTATTTCCCTGTCATCCTATTACTCTACCTATAGTTTAATTCCATCTGTTCTTACAAAATTCGTTTACTGGAAGCCATTCTTTCTCAATTATGTTCATATCCTTCTGATTCAGGCGAGCCGTCAAAATATCCATTTCCATCATTTCTGATAATGATGGAAATTATCATCAGCCAATCATCAGCTCAGCAGCCAATTATCATCAGCTCAGCAGCCAATCATCTAATGCAGGAAGTTCATTATTTTTCCATTTTTGTGCAACCAAAAGTCTTGCTGCCGTTATCATATAGAGTAAAATTCTCCAGTGTTTCCTTTCTACATGAGATGGGATCTTATTTAACATATTGAGTAAATTTCCAGTCTCAATTCATAGTTTATTTTGAATAACTTTTCAATCGTTATGTGAATCTTTTCCCAAAAGATCTTTAGTTTTGGGCATCACCACCACATATGGATCCATGTACCTCCCTGTATATTCCAAACAGTTAAATGGATGATGAAGTAAAGCAAACAAGAGACATACAATGTAGGTCAGCGACTCTGAAAACCCAGCAAGACCTAATCACTACTGTGAACTATCCTGGAGATGAGTAAATTTCCCTGTAGTACGATAGTTCCCAAACTTTGGTCCTCCAGAGGTTTGGGACTTCAGCTCCCAGAATCCCTGACTGTTGGCCAAGCTGGCTGGAGCTTCTGGGAGTTGAAGTCCAAAACACCTGGAGAACCAAAATTTGGGAATCACTGCTGTAGTAGACTGTACACTGAGATCAAAATCCTGCAACAAATAAGGCCAAGGTGCTCTGTCTAGTATAGTAACACAAAAAATTCTTCACAATCTCTGTTCCACTTGATGGCAGATTGATAATAGATAGTCATGAAGCAATGTAACAGTCAAAATTGTTGGTAGTAGAAAGGTAGTACAGAAGACTACTGCCAGAGTTTTTGAAGTCATTTAGGTATGTCTTCATCAATAATAGTGAAATGTTCAGCAGTGGAACATGGTCCCTTGGAGTGTGGTGGAGTCTCCTTCTTTGGAGGTTTTTAAACAGAAGCTGGATGGCCATCTGTCGAAGATACTTTGATTGTGAGTTCCTGCATGGCAGGGGGTCAGATGAGATGGACTTTGTGACTCTACGATTCTATGATTCTTCAGTTTAAAAATTATTATCTGTTCCTGAAGCTTACAACATCCAGTGTATCTTCAGTACACAGGGTATTTATTATTATTACTTATTAGCATCCTGGTACATATCTTAGTGAACAGCTACAATCCTTGCCATTTATAATACTGTAAAAAAAAAAAATTCAAGAAATATTCCATAGCAGAAGTTGCCACTGCGCAATGACGTGTTAGAAATATTTCCTTTAAGTCGCTATTAAACTTCTGGCGAGTTCCCCTGTCAAGTGATCAACAGCATCTTAACCATTCCTCAAATATTAAAAAACAACAACAGTTTGAATAGAGAAATAAAGCAAAGCGGAGGGGAGTTTTCATAATAAACAATACGCAATGCAAAGTGTTTACTCCTGAATACTGAAATAACCCTTTGCCTAACTCTTCTTGGAGGAATCTCTTATAATTGTATGTACTCTTTACATTGGTTTTTGTGGGTTTTTCGGGCTGTGTGACCATGTTCTAGAAGAGTTCCTTTCTGGCGTTTCTTTACTCTTTACATTGTTCTAAAAAGAAGTTGGAACACAAACCCACTGGGTGACCTTGGGCAAGTCACATTCTCTCAGCCTCAGAGGATGGCAAACCCCCCTCTGATGAAACCTGGCTAGAAAACCCCAAGATTGGTTCGCCTTAAGTTGGAAATGACTTGAAGTCACACAACAACAACATTCCACTTTAACTGCCATGGGTCTGTCCTATGGAATCTGAACATGGCCCTGAAAACCTGGGTGGAACAAAGGATGGATGGATGGATGGACAAGAAAGGCAGTGATGGGTGGCGAGAAAATGCAGGTGAAACGCCAGGAAGAAATTCTTCTAGAACACAGCCTCACAGCCCGAAAAACTGCACAACACCCTATGCCTTATTTCTGCCATGTACCTGTACATGGCAGAAATAAGGCATAGGGTTTTGTGCAGTTTTTCGGGCTGTGAGGCTGTGTTCTAGAAGAATTTCTTCCTGGTGTTTCGCCTGCATCTGTGGCTGGCATCTTCAGAGAATGGTGGCACGGTGGTGTGTGGGGTATATATACTGTGTGACCCTTAGTTGAGAGGATTAGCATGTAAATCTGTGTATTGTTCTGTTGAGGCAAGGCCTCAGGGTGGAAGGATATGCAAAGAGGATTAGTGTCTATTTAATTAATGGTCCATTGTCTGCTGGGAAAACCCCTGACCCTGGATGCAGTTCATTTGCATTTGCTGAGTCCTGATTTTGGTGTTTTTGAGGACTGGTAGCAAACTTTCTTTACTTTCAAGGTTTCTTCTTTCCTGTTGAAATTGTCCAGGTGCCCTCCCACCCTGAGGCCTTGCCTCAACAGAACAATACACAGATTTACATGCTAATTCCCAGTAGACAATGGACCATTAATTAAACAGACACTAATCCTCCTCACATATCCTCCCACCCTGAGGCCTTGCGTCAACAGAACAATACACAGTTTACATGATAATCCTCTCAACCAAGGGTCACACAGTATATATACTCCACACACCTCCATGCCAGCATTCTCTGAAGATGCCAGCCACAGATGCAAGGAAACATCAGGAAGGAATTCATCTAGAACATGACCTCACAGCCCAAAAAACCTACAAAAACCTATGGATACCAGCCATGAAAGCCTTCGACTTCACACAGAAATAAGGCAGTTTGACACCACCTTGAGTGCTGTAGCTCCATCTTGGGGTATTTCTTGGCATGTTTCATCAGAGGGGGTTTGCCATTGCCATCCTCTGAGGTTGAGAGAGTGTGACTTACCCAAGGTGACCCAGTGGATTCTCATGGCCATGCTGGGATTCTAGTGCCCCCATAATTCAATATGCAAAGGGATCTTGTAGCACCTTTGCAACTTAGGCTGCACCTGGCACTGTCGAAATAATTCACTTTGACACCAATTTAACTGCCCTGGCTCAATGCTATGGAATTTTGGGAACTGTAGTTAGTTGTGGCACTGTAGTTAGAGTTCTCTGACAGAGAAGACTAAATGTCTCCCAAAACTACCGTTCCTAGAATTCCCTAACACTGAGCCAGGGCAGTTAAAGTGGCGTCAAAATGGATTATTTCAGCAGTGCCAGGTGCAGACTAAGTGAAGGAAAGACGCTGGTAGAATGAGCTTTTGTAGACTTGAATCAATTTCCTCAGACCCCATGCATCTGAGGAAGTAGACTCAAGTCTATGAAATTCATGCTGCAAACTTCTTTCATTCTTTCTAAATGCATCTGAGGAAGTAGACTGAAGTCTATGAAAACTCATGCTGCCAACTTCTTTCTTTCATTCTTTCTAAATGCATCTGAGGAAGTAGTCTGAAGTCTACAAAAGCTCATGCTGCCAACTTCTTTCTTTCAATTCATCTTAAAGGTGCTACAAGAGCACTCTACATACAGTAAGGCAGGTTTCTGAGCTGTTTAGAATAATTAGGGCAACCAGATGCATCCTCCTTTTCCATTTCCATTCCCTACACTTCAACCTTGTGTCCAGGAGGACTTCCAAAATGTCTTCCATTTTGAGCACGACTAAGCAGCATGCATGTTTGGTTTTGTTGTTGTGTGCCTTCAAGACGTTTCCGACTTACGGCAATCCTCAGCAAGTGAACCTATCATGGGGTTTTCTTGGCAAGTTTTATTGTACGCCTCTGGCAGGTTTTATTCTGTTTTATCCTTGATTGTCTTTTGTACAGCGCTGTGTACACCGACAGCGCTCTAGAAATAAACTTTAATAATAATAATAATAATTGCCTTCCTCTGAGGCTGAGAGAGTGTGACTTGCTCAAGGTCACCCAGTGGGCTTACATGGCCGAGCTGGAAATCAAACCCTGGTCTCCAGAGTGACAGTCCAACACGCAAACCACTCCTCCTTACTGGCTCTCCGAATTACATATTATATGTAATTGTATGTATAGAGTTTTTAACTTTTGTTTTGTCATGGCCTACATTTCTTGGTGGTTAGGACCTCTGGTCACTCTGAGAGAGAGTGACTTGCCCAAGGTCACTCAATGGGTTTGCACGGCTGACCCAGGATTCGAACCCTGGTCTCCAGGGTCCTAGTTCAACCCTCAAACCACTACTCCATACTGACTCTCCAAATGACATGTATAGTTAGTTATATGAGGATTTTTACTCTAATTATATATATAGTTACGGTACATGAGAAACTACACTGGCTCTCTCATGCTTCCTAGCCATGCTCAAATTGGAGGATGTTTTGGGAATTCCTCCTGGACAGAAGGCTGAAATGGAGGATGTGTCCTGGAAAAGGAGGACGTGCTTGGCCACCTTACACTCTCTCAGCCTCAGAGGATGGCAATGGCAAACCCCCTCTGAAGAAACTTGCCAAGAAAACCCCATGATAGGTTCACAAGAGAGCCAGTGTGATGCCATGGTTTGGGCATTGGACTAGGTTACTGGAGAGCAGGGTTCGAATCCCAGCTTGGCCATGGAAACCCACTGGGTGACCTTGGGCAAGTCACACTCTCTCAACCTCGAGGATGGCAATGGCAAACCTCCTCTATCTAAACAAATCTTGCCAAGAAAACCCCATGATAGGGTTGCCTTAGGGTTGCCATAAGTCGGAAACAACTTGAAGGCACAGAACAACAAATAATGTATAAATAATTAGAGATCGAGAGTTATTTATCTCTCTCTCTCTCTCTCTCTGTAATACAATATATATATATATATATATATTATTTTTATATAATGAGGAAGGCTTTTATTACAGGCTATGTGCTATATTTATTTGGATATTTAAAAGTGGAGAGGCATTGCAGCTCAGTGGTTTGAATGCTGGACTACGACTCTGGAGACCAGGGTTCAAATCTTGGATCAGCCATGTAAACCCATTGAGTGACCTTGTCCAAGTCACACTCTCTCGGCCTCAGAGGATAGTCATGGCAAAAAACCCTCTGAAGAAAACCCCATGACAGGTTGGCCTTAGGTTCGCCACATGAGCCAGAAATGACTTGAAGGCACACAACATCAACAACAACAACCCCCAGGTGACCTTGGGCAAGTCACACTCTCTCAGCCTCAGGGGGAAGAAGACATTGACAAACCTCCCTTGAACAAATCTGTCCAAGAAAACCCTATGATAGGGTCACCATAAGGCAGAAACGACTTTAGGGCACATAGCAACCCCCAGGTGACCTTGGGCAAGTCACACTCTCTCAGCCTCAGGGGGAAAAGGCATTGACAAACTTCCCTTGAATAAATCTGTCCAAGAAAACCCTATGATAGGGTCACCATAAGGCAGAAACGACTTTAGGGCACACACCCCCGTGTGACCTTGGGCAAGTCACACTCTCTCAGCCTCAGGGGGAAAGGCAATGACAAACCCCTCTCTGAAGAAAACTTGAACCCCCCAAAAAACCATGAGGGTTATTATAAGTCGGAGACGACTCGAAGGCACACAACAAGAAGAAAAAGGAACGTGAATTTATGTTTATGTTATTAGTTTTTCGCTTTGACTCCGTTTCCACAAGGAGACAGGGGCCTCCATTCCATCGCCTCAGAGGCCTCTGTCCCTTTAAATCCCGGCGCCCGGCCCCTGCCGCCTTGGCTGGGAGACCCCGCGCCTCGGCGGAGAGGCGAAACCAAAATGGCGCCGGCGCCGCCGTGACTGAGCCTGAAAGAGAAGGACGCGGAGGAGGGCCAGCGCCACGGACGCTCCTTCCGCCGGGCCCAGGAGAGGCCTTGTCCGGCTGGTGGGGCTCTGGGCCCCGAGGAGGAGACGCGGAGCCGGCGAGGGAGACCCGACTGAGCCGCAGAGAAGGAGGAGGAGGAAGAAGAGGGAGAACATGGCGGCGGAGAAGGAGAAGGAGGCAGCGGCAGCGGCGAAGAAGCCGGCCTGGGAGCGCTTGTGAGGGGCAGCTGAGGAGGCCGCAGCCGCAGCCGCGCCAGTGTAGGCCGCGGCCTTCCCTGCCCAGAAGGGGCCTGAGAGGAGGAAGAGGAAGAGAAGGAGAAGGAAGAAGAGGCCTGGGGCCTGGAGGCTCCCTCACAATAGGACTGACTGAGGCCCCTCTTCTCTGCTCCCCAGTTTTTCCGCCCCCATTACGACCCCCTCACCAGCCCCCCATATTTCCCTCCCTCTTCGCCGGCAATTGGGCTCCCTCTTTGGGCTTTATTGCTGACACTTGGGGCTGCTCCTTCCCTGGCTCTGACCCACTGCTTCCCCCCCCCCATTCTCCTCTAATACTGGTCAGTTTACCCCGGATTACTTTACCCTGCTTCGCTTTTTACCCCTCTAGCTTTACTCCGGTTTTCTTTTTACCTCGACCCCGGGTCACTGTTTACCCTGGGCCACTTTTTTTAACCCCAAATCACGTTACCTTGGATCTCTTTTACCCTGGATTAAGTTTCATCCCGGGTCACTGTTTACCCTGAATCCCTTTTTACCCCAGGTCATTTTACCCTGGGTCACTTTTTACCCCCAAATCACTTTACCCTCAATCTTTTCTTTTTACCCTGCTTACTTTATACCCCTGATTACTTTACCCTCAATCATTTTTCACCTTGAATCACTTTACCCAAGATCACTTTTTGCCTCAGATCACTTTTTACCCCAAATCACTTTACCCTCAATCACTTATTTTTACCCCAGTTTACTCTTTACCTTTGATCACTTTACCCTCAATCACTTCTTTTTACCCTAGATCGCTTTATACTCCTGATTACTTTACCCTCAATCATTTTTCACCTTGAATCACTTTACCCCAGATCACTTTTTACCCTGGTTCACTTTTTACCTTTTTTCACTTTACCCTCTCATTGGTGCCCATGTCCCCCTTTTAGCAAGTTGCTCCCCCATCTAATGTGAGGCCCTTTCTAGTTGCCCTTTGTTTGTTTTTTCTCTATTTTGACTCCATTCTTTTCAGCTTCTTGTTCTTGTTCCTTTATTCTGGATCATTTTACTTTGGATCACTTTTTACCCCGGGTTGCTTGACCCTCTCTCATTGCTGCCCATCTCTCCCTTTATCAAATTCTGCCCTCCCCTTCATTTTACAAAACAACCATCCCCATTAAATGTGGGAACCTCTCTAGTTGACCTTTGCATTTTCTTTTTTTAACTCCCATTCTTTTCAGCCTCTTGTTGTGTTCTTCTTTTTTCCTCTCAAACCCTTGTATTGCTACTTCCTGTTCTCTTCCCCTTTCTGCTGTTTTTTGCTTCACTGAAAGAAAACCCAAAAGTTCAGAGCTGGTGAAGGAGACAAGAGCTGCCTCCCATTTTGTGTTGGCCCCCTTTTTGGGGGATGATGAGACTGCTGCTGCTGCTCCTTTAGCAGCGCCACTAAAGAGGATATCGTTTGAGGTATTATTGTGTGGGACACTTTCTCCCTTTTCTGCTCCCCTTTATTGAGGGGGGCAAAGCCCCCCACCTACTACTACTACTACCACCACCACCATCACACCTCAGTTGATTTACACACATACTCACACACAGAGGCCTTGGTGGTGTGGCAAGAGGCAGCAGGATGACTGATACCCGGAGGAGGGTGAAGGTGTATACGCTGAATGAAGATAGACAGTGGGATGATCGGGGCACTGGACACGTGTCCTCGGGCTATGTGGAAAGGCTGAAGGGCATGTCCCTGCTAGTCAGGGCAGAGAGCGATGGTAAGTATGTCTAGAGAACGTGTGCGGGGAAGGTACTTGACCCTGCTTGCATAGCGGGGTATGTGAGGTGATGGGCTACACGAGGCAGCCTTGCGTGATGGAAACGGTGGAGCTTCGAAAGCTTGCAACATGTATAAGGTGCATTTTGTTTGGCCCAATAAAGGCATCACTGTTATGTGGATTTTGGATGTTACTTCACCATGAAACCCACTGGGTGGCCTTGGGCAAATTGCATGCTCTCAGTCTCAGGAAGGCAATGGCAAACCTCCTCTGAACAGATCTTGCCAAGAAACCTCCTGATAAGTTCATTGTCTTAGGGTCTCCATGGTCCAAAACACACTGCAGGAATAATCCAGTTTAAGACCACTTTAACAGCCCTAGCTCTGTGCTAAGGAATCCTGGGAATTGTAGTTTTTTGTGGTACCAGAACTCTGAAAGAAGGCTAAATGTCTCACAGAGCTACAATTCCCAACATTCCCTAGCACTGAACCATGGCAGTTAAAATGGTATGAAAACAACCTAAGGATTATTCTGAATAATGGATAGTATGACAGAAGATTCTCACCATGTGCTGATGTTATGCAACATTTTTAGTGATACTAAACTGTAACTTCTGTCTATGTAATTTAGGGCTAAAGCAGACTGCAGAAATAATCCAATTTGAGACCACTTTAGCTGCCCTGGTGCTAGAGAATTCTAGGAATTGTAGTTTATTGTGGCACCAGAGCTGTCTGACAAAGAAGGCTACATGTCAAACAGAACTACAGTTCCCAGCATTTCCTAGCACTGAGCCAGGACAGTTAAAGCGGTCTCAGACTAGATTATTTCTGCAGTCTGTTTTTGACCCATAAATTAGAAGCGACTTTGAAGGTACAGAACACACATGCAAGTTGCATGATCAATCAAGAGTATGAAAACCACCTAAGGATTATTCTGAATAATGGATAGTATGACAGAAGAGTGTCACCATGTACTGATGTTATGCAACATTTGTATCAATACTACATTGTTCTGTCTATGTAATTTAGGGCCAAAACAGACTGCAGAAGTAATCCAGTTTGAGACCACTTTAACTGCCCTGGCTCAGTGCTAGAGAATTCTGGGGATTGTAGTTTATTGTGGCACCAGAGCTGTTTGACAGAGAAGGCTAAATGTCTCGCAAAACTACAGTTCCCAGTACTGAACCAGGGTAGTTAAAGTGGTCTCAAACGATTATTTTTGCAGTCTGTTTTGACCCTTAGTCCATAATGGTGGTCCAGTCCTGTAGAGATATAGGCTAGAAAGAATATAGCATTGTTTGCATTTTTTTAAATTTGACACATATTTAGATGACATACTGTAAAGTTTATCCAGCAACATTTGGCATGGGTTATTAAAATTACACTTCAAACTTTTCTATATTAGTAGTTTCTGTTATTTCTCAGGATCATTCTTTTGCCTTCAACCAAATGGCAACATGTTTTTAAGATGTTTTCTCCTTCCTATATCCACTTCTGCTACCCCTCGACTGAATAAATATATGAATGTCAGTGATCTAGAAAACAAAAGAACAAACAGTAAATCATTTGAGCTGGTCCTGTGTCTGCTCATTTGAAAGTAAATGTTACTGGTTTCAGTGATACTTGCTTCTAAATGTGTACATAACATTTCAGTTTTTAGCCTTGATTATAAACACATTTACTTAGAATTAAAGCTTTTGATCTGTTGGCAATAATGCAAATGAAGGCACATACTGTCAATGTTAAGAAGGTGCTTAAGGACAATCCAAATTGAATTATACACAGAAGTGATAAACACGTTTTATATATAATTAATTTTTGGCTCTAATATCTGCTTCTTCATGGATAAAGTTTGGTGTATCACATGTATTTGGTTACAGACTCTTCAGATAGTTCCTGAGGGATTGTGGCCTTCAGTAAATAAATACACATACCCTTGGAAATACTTAATTGTATTTTGTGGCCTTCCTGTCACCTTCAAATCCATACACATTTATCCTTTCAGTTCAGGCTCTTAAGTTTGATATTTAGCAGTAGTGTCAAGGAGCAAATTGTTGATTCTTTTAGATATGTAAGACGCAGGGGTAGGCAACCTTTCCCCTTTAAGGGCTGAGGGACTTCAGCTCCCAGAAGCCTCAGCCATGTTGGCCAATAGTCCCATGTTGGCCAATAGCTCCTGGGATTCTGGGAGCTGAAGTCCCTTAGCCCTTAAAAGGGGAAA